TCAACTTCCTTTTCAAAAGGTTTCACACCAGAAACAATCAAATCATCTGATGGGAGGCAAGTCCAGAAGGCAGAACATGTTGAAACATCATTTGGTTGAATGACATTGGTTATAATTATGATTGGAAAAATGTGTCAGATCTGAGCAAGTTTATTAAGTTCTGAGAAMACTGTTGCTTTACCTTTCTGAGTTTTCAATTACCATTTGGTTGAAGGAAGTATTGGTTCTTTTTGTGATTGGATTCTAAAAGCAGATGTAAGATAACTTAGACGGTAAATAATATAAAACCAACAAAATTACAGTCAGTGAAGCCAGGGATGTGATGTCTTGTGTTCTCTCGTTATTACGCTTTCATCTCCTCAGTTGTTTACCTGTCATTTCCTTCTCTGTCGCACCTGTCAGTAGTTATCTGATCAGTTCTCCTCAGCTGTTGTCCATCGTCTTTCTTCCTCTGTTTGTAACGGTAATGTCCTCCATATCCTCGCCGGATCATTGTTTGGTTTACCCACTGTTTGACGTTCCTCACGTCCTGAGTTTTTTTGTTGTTTTGCTGCCTCGACAGCTTTTTGTTTTATTTAATAAATCATTTTATTTTTTTTAGCTCCTCGCCTCCGTCTGGATTTGGGTTCATTCCTCACAACATCATAACAGGAAACATGATCTAGGTTTGACTTGTTTGATATTTTGAACATCATAGATGAAGGGAGATTTAGTTAATGTTTACACTATAATCAGTGAAAAGGTCAGCAGTCATCTGAAGCTGGTTTCTTACTTAAAAGGATCTTCATTATTATTGTAGGTCAAACTGAAAAACATGTAACCAAACATTTTCTAGTTCAGACAATCTGACCTATTTGCTAAAGTGAAGCTCACAGCTGGATTACCAACCAGGCAACAGAGCCAGATGACCCAAACAGCCTTAAGCCTTTGAGGGTTTTCTGTTGAACTGTGCACATTTTATCATGTGACAATGATGCCTATTTTAAATAAACATGATCAAGGACCTTAAAGAGTTGCTAAGTCCCCCTCCTTTTTTTTTAGGATGTTTTCATGTTTTAACATTTTTCATTGTTGTTACATGCATTTCATTAAACAAATATGCGCTCTATGATGTCATCAGGGGTTCAAAATGTCACTACCCCAATAAAATATGTCAATTTTCATCTTTTTAGTCTGTAGATTAGGGTGGGTCACCGTGCACACCCCACTACTGAACTTGTCTGGTTTTTTCATGTACCCTAGGGTCCACTCTTTCAAAAAAGCTCAAACTTTGCGCACACAYGTAAAACATGATGCATACAAATAAAACAGATTTTGAGCAAATTAAACAGGTTTCACACAAATAAACCAAGTTTCATACAAATAAAACTGGTTTCACACAAATAAAACAAGTTTCATTCAAACAAAATTGGTTTCACACAAATAAAACTGGTTTCACACGAATAAGCCAAGTTTCACACAAATAAAATATTAGGGTTTTACAAACAATCCTCGAGTACAAAAAGATCTCTCCTCACAACAAACAGCCTCTCCTTGCATACAAAACAATTTCACACTCTGCGGTAACCAATGCTGACACTTTGTGGCAACATTAGGTTACTACACWGCACTCTGTTGCAGGGAATTAAAAAAAAACGAATTCGCTTTTCTATCCTAAATCCACGTATAAAATTTGACTTTCTTTGACTAGTTAACCCTCATGGTATGTTGCGGGTCAAACTGACCCGTTTTAAAGTAAAAAAAAAAAAAAA